GGGGGGGGGGGGAGGAAGGGGGGGGGTTGATTTGAGTCTTGAATATATGTAAATAGTCTTCAGAAATACTAGAAATGTACCAAAATCACATAATTCCTTTAAAAATACAACGATACACTATACATGGTCCTTGACTTGGTTGATTTGAGTCTTGAATATATGTAAATAGTCTTCAGAAATACTAGAAATGTACAAAAATCACATAATTCCTTTAAAAATACAACAATACACTATACATGGTCCTTGGCTTGGTTGATTTGAGTCTTGAATATATGTAAATAGTCTTCTTCTCGTACTTTGGACGAGATTTTAATTAACGGAATTGCCTTGCTTGTATAGGTGTCGTAGATATTTTGATTAAGCAGGATATGGTATAACTATCAAATCTGATTATTTCTAAAATCACAAATATTGGTTCAGTGTTTTAAAGGTATACTACCTCTTATTAGGTGTGAGAGCGGACAACGGGCCCACTCTCGAAAGCACTGGCACAGGCATCAGAATTATTCTATCCTTGAAAAGGATTTGAATCCACAGCTAAAAACTTGATATTTTTTTTAACTTTTCCTTATACAACAGAATCCCTCTATAATCTAATAAATCTAAAAAAAACTAAGTAATAATTCATTAAACTAAGTAATAATTCATTAAACTAAGTAATAATTCATTAAACTAAGTAATAATTCATTAAACTAAGTAATAATTCATTAAACTAAGTAATAATTCATTAAACTAAGTAATAATTCATTAAACTAAGTAATAATTCATTAAACTAAGTAATAATTCATTAAACTAAGTAATAATTCATTAAACTAACTAATTTTGAAAGTTTTTTTTTTCAATAATTATTTAGTTTAATAGATATATCGTGTTATATAGAGATTCTATTCTTTAGTCATGACACCTGGTAAGTCTAACTGATGAATATATACTCTTATTGACCAAGTTTAAGATTTTAAATTTTATGTCCATTCTAAGAGGTAGTATCCCTTTAAAGTTATAATTATTTAGTTTAATAGATATATTGTGTTATATAGAGATTCTATTCTTTAGTCATGACACCTGGTAAGTCTAACTGATGAATATATACTCTTATTGACCAAGTTTGAGATTTTAAATTTTATGTCCATTCTAAGAGGTAGTATCCCTTTAAAGTTATAATTATTTAGTTTAATAGATATATCGTGTTATATAGAGATTCTATTCTTTAGTCATGACACCTGGTAAGTCCAACTGATGAATATATACTCTTATTGACCAAGTTTGAGATTTTAAATTTTATGTTCATTCTAAGAGGTAGTATCCCTTTAAGGTAAAGAGATAAAAAAACTTTGATTGATTTCCTGTACAAATGTCTTATACAAACAATTTTAGTTTACAAATACACGTTATGTAAATACTGGATATCCAAGACACGTATTGTAAATACCTAGTGATCCGGTCTAACATCGTTTTTATCTTTTCTGATAATTTTATCATTAATAAGTTCAATTTTCTTTTATTTCTCCAATTTTCTAAAAAATATTGAATTCCAATTTCATTTTTTTTCTCCAAATTTGTGTTTTTACTTGTTCTAATTTTAATGGAATTTACAATACAATTAGTTTTATTCAAACCTTAATTGCATTTTGGGGTGCTGTAGTGCAGTTGGTTAGGGTGTTGAAATCTTAATATGACATCATTTGCTTGGTTACCTCCAACATATCATGGTTGTGGGTTCTATTCTTGGTTGAAAGTGCATAAATTAAGATTATTTGTGTTAAAGTTTCATACTTATTCAAACCTTGATTGTATTTTGAAATCTTTATATGACATCATCTTAACAATCCATTTGATATTAATAGTAGCTAATGCATTTATCAAATGCATAGTTTTAGTGGAATTGCAGGAATCACAGATAACTGATTGAAAATTAGAATGATGTAAATTGATGCTATCAGTGTCTCTGATACACATAAAAAATATAGAAAACCTCTTTACAATCTCTTTAATAAGAACCACAGACGTCTGATTGAAAATTAGAATGATGTAAATTGATGCTATCAGTGTCTCTGATACACATACAAAATTTAGAAAACCTCTTTACAATCTCTTTAACAAGAATCACAGACGTCTGATTGAAAATACCTGAATTATTTTGTGAAGTGATATTTTGATGTAGATTAATTATGGCGAACAA